GATCAAATGGATGAAAACTGTAGAAAAAGACCATTTGCACACCAAAATAATAGGTCGAGGATGTCAGAGCTGAAAAAAATGAATAGAATTTTTCTCCATCGAAGTATTTTTTCGCTCTTTAAAATTCACTAAATATTCCAATTAAAAGTCGGCCTTTTATTGAGTTGACACGATCATGGGAAGCCTGTAGGACCTTTCTTTTCATTTATGTTATTTTTTTTAAATAATGTTATTTATAATGTAATGGAGAGTTCGTTGTCATATAAACTGATGATCTTCTATAATCTAAATGAATAGTATTATTCATTTTTAAAGTGAAAGGGAAGAGTATTTTGAATTTCACAATGATATATTTGTACGACATATAAATACTTAAATATTTAATAAAGAACAAATGAAATGCATAACAAAGTTCATATAATCACATTTAATGATTTAAATTTATTGAATATAAAAGTTTTTATTGCATGTGTTTGTGTAAGTGATTAAATATTTGTTTGCGCAAATTATAGAGACTTTTGAAGTTTACGAAATGGTTTTTATATTGTCACTATACTTTTTGTACCACTTTTTAACTGTAAAGTCTTTAATATTTTCTTATTATCTCAGCCATATATGTACTTATTTTTTACCTTAGATTTTTATTAATTAGAACACGTGATCCTTGATAATGGTTCTGTTAGTGTGATTCGAAATGAGTTAAGTTGTGATTTGGATCCCGTTTAGCCCTCATTATTCCACATTATAATGTGAGGAATGGTAATTTTTCGAAGAATGTATGATTAAAAAAGAATGAAGTATTTTTGAGTTTACGTGTAATATTATTTTATTGAAAAATATGTTATCGAAAAGTTTGAACATAAGGAAGTACGAATGAGATGGAAAAAAGTTGGGGGCATAAATGTGAAAATGAGAAAATATTGAGAATCTTTAATACAATTAAAAATATTTTGCACATAAAAGAAAATCTGGTGATCATATAACTATCCTAATGATAATTATAGAGAAAACTCATCTTATTTTAAAGTTATAAAAGATCTCCCTCTTAGGCCTTAGAAATTATTTTTTTTTCTGTTTTGCGCATCTCTCTCAAGCTATATGTGTAAAATTATATTTATTTATTTATATATTTTTTATTAATTGTAACTGAAGAAGAAGAAGAAGAAGAAGAAGAAGCTGTTTTAGTTTTAAAAAGTCTATATTTCTAATCTTTTTGCAGAAGGTGATTTCATCTTAATCATATTTTTGTGAATATTGAGTACCCTATACAAAAAAAATTAATAAACTAAAAATCGAACAATATAAAAATATTTAATAAGGTCTTATTAACTTTATTAAATTATTCTAAAAACATGTATTTATTTTGATTTTTATAATTATATTCCAATTATATTTGGAAAAGGAAAAAGAATAGTAATTTTTAAAAAAATAAAAAAAATAAATTGACAATGTATGATTTCTCGTCTAAATCAAAAGAATGAAAAAGTACATCTAAATAAGTAATAAAAATGAAAAATATAGTTATGTATAATGGAATAATAATTTGAAAATAATGTTAATGTATAAAGTGAGAAATATATATTTATTTTAGCTGACATGATTATGAAACGAGAATTTTAAGAAATTTTGAAAATGTATATAATTTATTTAGGATATTGTTATTTGCATTCACAATTTTTATAAATGCGTCACACTCTATATACATTCCTATTAAAATATTAAAATTGTAAAAAATTACTATTTTCATTTACGTCAAATTTCAATATTGTCCATATTAAGTTTATTCATTGAAACATTATAGATCGATACAAACTTTATATATTCGTTCCACTATGAATACATTTATAATAAAATTTCAAAAATCACTATATTAATTCATCCAGTCACTCTTAACATTTAATCTGGTTCTTACTTGTTATTATCTATATTGTCATGTCGACGTTTTAATATTTAGTTATGACGGTTAGCAAATCTCTCCCTCTCTCTTTTTTGAATTTGTAAGATTTTCTCAGAAGTATACCACTCACGAAACCAAACAAATTCATTCTTGAATCATGTATTAATTATTATTATTATTATTATTGCTTACAAGCTCATAATTTTTGTCGTTTGTGTTTTGATTGATAATTTTAATTTTGTTTCTTTTTATAATGTAAGAATATTTGGACAAATATTGAAACTTATTTTGAAATTTTCCGTATATTTTCATATGTCAAATCAATACTTAAAAAAAAACATAAAATATAAGATCCCATTTTTCATATCACAAAAAAATTATAACTCTAATAATGTGGTGATTTTTTTATTTTTTATTTTTTGAATTTCCATTGAAGAGAATATTTTATGGCGAGGGTTTTATGTAGTTAAGGATGATGTTTTAAGGTTATTAGAATTTTAGTCAAACACAAACTCTAAAAGAATATAAAAAAGTTTGAAAGAATTTATGAAAATAAACATTAGTGGATGAATTTAGAACAATATATTTTTATTTAATTTTATATATGTCTATTTATGTAAATTTACATAAGGTCAAAACTATAATATAATTATCTCTTTAAAAGTGGATGTATATATAAAAATTATGAATGTAAACAACGATATCCTTTGTGTATGAAATTGCCGTTAACTTCATAAAAGGTTTACTTGCAATTACCCTATTTATTTTAGAATATTGAGTTGGAGTTTTACCGTTTGCCCCACATATTTCATTATGTGACATGAAATGAATGGAGGAAAAATGATTTTGCCTCATCGCTTTTAACTAGTTTAGGCAAGTAAAATCCTACTCAAAATATCAAAATCAAAAATAGAAACAGAAAAAGATAAGATACATTATAATGATGGCAACAACTTGTGCTATCAATCATCCATCTTATCCTCAATTTCATATCTATTTATGAATGTTTCGTTTCTTTTTATGAATGCATGGATATGGTTGATACCTCCCCCACTTCGCTTGTTGCCTAAACGATAGGTTGGTCATTTCCATCCCACTGCGTCGAAATTTTTTTGAAGATGGGGCGAGAGTTAATTTATTCATTTACAGTCATGTTTAATTATTTACTATTTTTGATATTATCATGATTTATTAAATGATTTAGAAAATAAAAAGATTTAGAGTCTGTTTCTGAGTAATTTTGATAATTGATTTTTTGATCATTAGAAGAAAAGTGAGGTTCACTTCTGAGAGAAGAAATCAAATATGACGGTTGAAATAGTAAAATAATAGTCAAAAATCAATTTTTTGGACAAAAAAATCTCTCCCAATCAGACTGTTAGAGTGAGTTTGAAAAATTCGAGGAAGGAACCATGTTTACTCTCCGCGCCCCATTTATCATTTGGAGCTGGTCAATGCGAAGAAATTTGCCATCCTTACTATGCTGCATCTCCATCTCACCCGCGCTTACATTCCCATGATTCCCCACCAACTGCTCGCCTTGCATTGTTTAGAGCAAAATTTGACGTCGCATAAATTTGAAAATAGTGACTTTGTTTTGCAAATTTAAAAAGTAACTTATAATTTACTTTTAAACAATCAAGCTTAAATTTTAATTACACACTTCGTCGGATCCACAAATACGACACTTATACACCACTCATTTCTATCATAGTATAATTTAATCCAAACACTTGGAATAATCTATGTATTGAATCTATGTTTTGAGTCTTGGGCTTTACTCATTTTAAAAAGATTGACATTTTTAGTTGTTACTGTAAGATTTAACATTTATTCATCCCTTGCTTAGTTGCTCCATGTGATTTTTCACGCCTCATCTATTTTTTTCCTGTTACCTACTTGGTACGTCAATAAGCCAATATCCAAGGGGAGCCAACCAAAATAGTGGGCCAAGCTGAGCGGCTCGTGAGCTCCCTCTCGTTTTGTTATTTTTTAAAATTTTGAAAAACGATTTTATTTAGAAATATAAAACACAGACTTTTAACTCGTTTGAACTTCATTTTTTAAAATTCATGAAAAAATTTTGCATGTAAGTAAACTCAAAATTTAATGGACTTTTCCCTAAAAACATATACTTTTGAAATGTTCATGACAGTGATTTTTTAATATGGCCCGCACACAAAGTAAAACTCAAGCTTGGCTCGGACTAGAACCAGTTGCCCTACCTACTGTCCGCAGCACTCCATGCCTCCACGGGTCTGTCATGGAGATTTTGGAGGGTAGAGTAGTGGATAGTTGTGAGCGTTGATAATTTAATTAATTAGAAATAAAACTATTCTTTTTGTTAAAATTACCTTTTTAGAAAACTGTTTATCAAATATCAATGAGGGTAGTACAAATTTAGAAACTGGGAGACCGTTTACCCACTTATATTATTGGTTGGACCTCCCAATAAGACCTCTCTCTCTTTCTCATTGGTGGCCTTTTAGCCAACAGTAGTCTTGGGTTCCACAAATCCAAAGCAATCTAGATGAGTAATGTTATTTTGCTTGAGCCATTTTTCTTCCATCAGAATACATTCTTTAATAATGATTTGAACTCGCTTCAATCACACATTCATCAAATATGTATCTTTTGACAAGAATGTGACTCAAACAAGGGCTTAGTCCGTTGGTTTGGATAAAAATTAAAATTATAGTATCTTTTAATAAAAGTTGAAGAAATATGTGATTGAAAATAAGTTTGAGAAAACATGAGCCCAAATATGAGTTTAGCATCGTTAATGTTGTAATTCAGTGTAGATAATACTAAGAGACATTAAATAAAAAGTACAAGTGATATAATTCTACTTTTAATCAAGTACATTATATATTTAGTTCCTGTTTGAGCCACATTATTGAAAAAATAAAAATGAAAAATATAGTTATTATGGATCCTACATAAGAGATAAAAAATCAAATATGATAATTTGATATAATAGATAACGATTATATATTTTATTTAATGAGATAAAAATGGGATTCTAACATGCTTTTATTATGAGAATGCTAAGTTGCATTATTCAACACACAAACAAATCAACCATCCACTTCTTTCTTTCCCTCTTTATGCCCACACGCACCGGCTAATTGGTGGTCTTTTATGTCAGACCATTCTTTTTTTCCTCCGTCTCCCTCTCTCTCATCCTCTGGATCTGAATGGAGTGAGAAAATGAATGGCCAGATGCAGTGCCTGTCTCTCTAGCTAGTCTCTTCTCTTTTCCTTTCTTTCTGTCGGGTTTGTTCTTCTATTGCCCTCTAATTATAGAAAATTGATTCTCTTTTTTCCCCAATTGTATCTGTCTTTCTTCTAAACTCTTGCTTTTGCTATTCGCAAGCACTATTTTTAGAAACCCTTCTTTTCATTATTTTAACATCTATCATCGACCATTCCTTCTTCTGTTTATCATTTGTATGCTGGTTTATTCTGTGTGTTCTTACGTACTGGTGATCATTTTAATTGGTATTATTCTGATAAATATTAAACATGGCGAGGGAGAAGATTCAGATCAAGAAAATCGAGAACGCCACTGCCCGGCAGGTCACTTTCTCCAAAAGAAGAAGAGGGCTCTTCAAGAAAGCAGAAGAACTGTCAGTTCTTTGTGATGCTGATGTTGCTCTCATCATCTTCTCCTCCACTGACAAGCTCTTTGAGTATGCAAGCTCCAGGTATCTCTCTAAATTCTTCTCTCTCTCTCTCCCGAAGCGGAAGCTAGTTTGTGGTGGAAGAATGATGAGAGAGAATAATATATTTTGTTGGAATTCTAAAAAAGGATGGTTATATTTGATGAATCATTCAGAAAATATTCGGGGGGTTTTCTGTGCTGTCAGCTAGCATGGGTTGAGAGTAATTCCATCCCTATCCTGTCTATTACAGTCATTTGTTGTCTGGGTTTGTTTTGTAATTCTTCGTCTTGTGCTTTTGCCTGTATACACTTTGCGTTCTAGTTGAGTTTTCACCGATCTACCAGACTACCACAGATTTTGACGCTTTATTCTTTATTAAATATGGAAATAATATCTGATATGTGCTTAAATCATCAAATAGTGAGTTTTTATTTCTTTCAGGAATGATTCATTCTTACCATGTAGTGACGTTAGGTGGCAAATGTTTAGTGCATTTTCTTCATTTCATCCAAGATAATCCCACTATCTGAAGGCTATAGTCAATACCAGAAATTAGTTCATAGCTTTAGTAAATCCGATATTATTAAATCAATTCTCAAGTTATAAGTACATTAATTTGCTGTAAACATAAATTGTTATGAAATCATTCGTATTTGGAAATTCGTGGAACATATGAGGTCGTGCAATTGACAAGATGTTAGTTTATTTTAATATTGTACAGTACCTTTGAATCCACATTATCAAACATGGATGGAGTGATTTAACACGTAACCCTAGTTGCATCTTATTTAAGTGTTCTACCTTCTTGGACTTTGGAGAAGGATAAAATATTTTATTGGCTCATCTGCTAATTAGAGTAATTTTCCAATTATAGAAGTTTCATTGTATGGTTTCAGTTGTAACTATGCGAACCTCCCACAAGCTACACCCAAAGAATCCATTTAAGAATAACAATACCATCATTTATAAATGTTAGAACTTCAATAAGGGTTCTGAATTTTAAGGAGAGAAAGTATCTCATTTGTGATCGTGCAGTGAAATGTATTGTAACTTTCCTTGGCACATACAAAACATTAATCTTTAACATATTATTGTGGATGGTAAGATAGGTAGTGAAAATAGTTTGATGATCCAACTGTTTTTTTTCTTTTTTTGCTTTTCTTGTCTCCCTTTGTTCTTTTTCCATGCTTGATTCTTTACATATTATTTTGTATTCTTCGTAACTTTTTGTTCCAAGTATGCAACTTCGCATCAAGGATTTGTGGTCGTTATGTGCATCTTTTGTCATTTCCATCCTTTACATTTGAAGAATGCTTTGATAGGACTTTCTGTTAAATATGAGAAAAAAAATTTCCCGGAGTGCTTTTAACTAATTTCATAACTTGTTTTCCCTTTGTCTGTGCTCGGAAGTATGAAGGAAATACTTGAGAGGCATAACCTGCACTCGAAAAACCTTGGAAAGATGGAACAACCATCTCTTGAGTTGCAGGTAATTTTCTTCTTTTCACCTCCTTTAATTTGTTACAATGTTGTACAAATATTGTGCCCAAGAAACTCGAGTTGATTTTTAGCCCCATTTTTATATAATTTTGATGCTTGTTTTGGCTTTAACGTCGTGCAGCTGGTCGAGGACAGAAATCACTCTACACTACGCAAAGAAATTGCTGAGAAAAGCCATCAACTAAGGTAAGTTTTTAAGAAATGATATTTCCTTTTAAGTATTTATTTTTCATATCTTTGGTGCAAGACGGAGTATTTGAAATTAACAGGCGCTTGAGAGGGGAGGAGCTGCAAGGTTTAAGTATTGAAGAGTTGCAGCATCTGGAGAGTTCACTTGAAGCCGGATTAAATCGTGTGATAGAGAAAAAGGTTTTGCTTGAGTTCTTGAATTGTGCCGATTCCTGATATATAGCTAACATTTATTGTCTTGTTCATTAACAAGCTATATTGTTCTTGTGACAGGGTGAGAAAATAAAGAAAGAGATCAACCAACTCCAAGAAAAGGCTAGCACAACATTCTAACCACATTAGACTAGATTGTAAGATCGATGAAATATGTTTCAATAAATTACCAAAATGTACTTAAGAGTTTGTGACATATGCAGGGAATGCAACTCGTGGAAGAGAATGAGCGCTTAAGACAGCAGGTATAAAACCGCCACCGAATCTCTCTATCTATCTATATATTAATGTCTATAATGGAAGATTTGGTTTACAAGGTGATAGAGATATCAAATGGGCGCAAAAACTTGACATCAACTGATTTAGAGAACATAATCTACGAGGAAGGGCAGTCATTGGAGTCTGTCAATATCAACTGCAACTCGACTGGCCCTCCACAGGATGATGATAGTTCAGATATTTCTCTCAAACTGGGGTGAGTTGGATTTCCCCCCACCCTACTTTAGTCCTCCCCGACGCGTGGTTTTCAAACTGAACTAATCTCTAAGCGTGCAAAAATTGCTAAAATTTTCTCCCACCCAATTTTATTTTACTTAAAAAGAAGAGTTGTTAGTTAAGCTTTGCTTTTTGTGGAATCTTCTTCCCCATTAAATATCATCACGTTACTTGATGTTGTTGCGAATAGCATGGCTTCCACCCAAAAAAGACCCATTGGATATGGTTTTTAGGCAACTCTTTTCTTGCAGGCTACCATATTCTGGTTGAATCCGCATGGCGGATGTGTCAACTGTTACTGGACTTTCATAATCTCAAAACTATGGAAAAATTAACTGATTATTGAGAATGTTGAAACCTAACACCAAACCTTTTAAGATCATTATGATCCTGTAACCCAGTAGAGAACAATTGCTAGATGTTCTCTAAATATTTTCCAGTGTCTGTATTTAAATTTACCAGACATGTTTGTGTTCAGTAAAAGAGCTTCTACCTTGCACGAATCTTCTTTACAGGGCTTCCGTTTTGTGCTTTTGTTATTAGGTGTATGATTGCATGATGTATTTTATCATTTTCATTGAAAAATAATCAAATATAAGTTAGAAGAATGAACTTAATAGCCTTATTTTTCATCACCGTACTTGAGTAATTATCTTCTTCTGCTTATGCTCACTTTCGAACTCGCCACTTGAATGTGATTGTCTAAATTTGTGACCGCAAACCATATCAGGGAGTTGATAACAGAACATTATAACACTTTCACCAAGAACAGGAACACCATTGCAAAGCTTGAAATCTGAGAATCTATTTTCTTGAAAATTTAGAAATCTAATACGGAAACATCCTCAAACTTTGGGGTACCTGTTATCTGAACGTTGGTTGAAATTTGCTTTGTTTAAGCTTAAATATACAAGACTCAACGATGGCCCTCCATAGATTCACCTATGTAAGTCTGGGCTAAAGTTGCAAAATAAGAGCTTGAATACCACTTGTAAATAATTCAAGGGCATGACATGGATAGGAACAACGGAATGTACTAAGAAACAAGAACGACTACTGCTAATTCATCTGTGAAGATATTTCCGAAAAATCGGAAACTTAAGTGATGAGGACTGCGTGAAATCTATTGAGATGTTAATGGGTGAAGGGATTGGATGTTGTTAATATATTTCTTGAAATAATGATCTTTTTTGGTAAAACCTGCGTAGAATTATGCCAATAACGTAAACATGGTTGTCTCAATGATAAAGATGCTAATTTTAAACGAGATTACTGTTTAGACCATCTCAAGAAAATGTAGAATATCTGAAATTTATAAATTTTATCAGTTTTCATGGATGGGTCGAAGCTAATGTAGAACAATATTTCTACTAACTATACAGCTATTATGTTTAAAATCCCAACAATTGAAGGAAACAAGTCTGAAAAATTTATAAAACTTGGAAGCAATCCAAGGTTAATGTCAAGGTTCTTACTTCAGAAATAAGTAGTAGCATAAAACAAAAAAGTTTTAGGTCTTTTATTTTGTGATCCATCTTCGAATTCCGTCATTTGCCGTTAGTAAATCCGGTTGACATGTACATTCACAAATTCAAAAAAGGCATTTTTTCCCCCAAAAATTTCGCTTTTTAACATTTTAACTAAAAATATTAAAATGGTGGCTGGAATGTAAATTTTTTCCTTGGAGCCCTAGACCAAGGTAATAACTAATAGTACGTTTAGAGTGGCCTCCAGGTTTGGGACGTCGCATTTTTGCCAATCTATGAATAAATGCAGGTATTATCAATCACAAATAGGGATGTTAAATGGGGCGAATCGAATCACTCAACTCAGCTCAAAGCAATTTGTGGCTCGTCATTTTATTTTATTTTTTTTACTGAAAATTTCTTCCACGCACGATGAGTCGTTCACAAGCTATTAGTAAGCCTGCTTGCACATGAGCCGACAAGCTCACGAGTGAGTTGGCTTGCTGGGTTCGTGTAGGGATGTCAATTGGGCTCGTCGATTCAGGTTGCCCATGGTTTGGTCCGGAAAAAGCCCGAGCGAGCTCACGGCGGGGCGGGGGCGGAGCCTCATTTTGAGGTTCCAGGCTTAGCCCTAGCTAGCCCGTGTGGCTCGTCGGCTCGGGATCGGGCAAAAAAACAAAAGGCAGCTAGCAACTGCCATAAAATAAAGCATCAGCTTAAGGTAGCAGTTGAGGCAGCTGGTGACATCTCTAGGCTCGCGTCCACGGTTTGTCCGACTTGACACTTTTAATCATGAACTATAATGAAGACTTGATATTCAATTTTTTGCCAATTGTTGCTTTTGTTTCATGGTTGAATATGTTATCGATACTGAGGGAACTCTGAACTCTCTACACCAAGCTAAACCTATTGAAGGTGGCAGTGGTCTACCAAATTCAAGAACTAGACTATAGAGTTTGAAATCAAGAAGATTAGGGGTTGTTCTCTTCGTGTTTCAGTTTTGTAGTTTTGAGTTTTGAATTTATTTTGGATTTTGTGTTTTGAGCGTCTGTTTTGAAATAGTTGAAAATGCATTCTTTTTGCCATTTTGAAAAAACTATTTCTCAAATGGAACCATTTCCCGTGTTTTCAATTTTTTCAAGTTTTGTAGTGAAAACACTCAAAACGACAAAAATGTCGTTTTGTGTTTTCTTCACAATTTTTTTTTTTTTTTTGTTTTCGAAAACGAGAAAGAGAACGCGTTTTCACCGTTTTGAAAAATCGAAAACCAAAAACGACGAAGAGAACACACCCTTAGTATTTACAAAAGAAAAACTAATCTACTCTAAGACTCTAATTTGAAAGCTTCAAGTGTATGAAAAATTAGATTTAAAACAAACTCCTAACATAGAATTATTTACCCAAGAAGCGAATGAGAAAAAATTTAGCACAAAATCATGAAAATGATGGAGGCTTGTAAAATCCAAGTCAGTTTCTAGCTTCTTGGTGTTTTTGCTTATAAGTCAATTCTATTAAAGAGTCAAAGTACATCAAGATTTAATTAAATTAAGCCCCTATTTGGCCCCCATTTTCTGAAAATGAAAATGAGTGAAATAGTGTTTTTTTAATAAATGAGTGATTGAAAAAGAAAGAAAAATTTTCGATTTGTGTGTAATATTATTTTATGGAAAATTGTGTGGTTGAAAATATGATAGAGAAAAATGAAATATAATTTAATGAAATTTAATGGGGGCCAAACAGGGGCTAAGACTCCTAGAAATGGGTAAAAGTAGGTCCGTCAATGGGATTTTAATGAAGTTGTACATTTTTGAATTAAAAGGAGTAATGAGATTGAAATCAAATTAAAATGTAGTCATTTTATTGAACAAAGTTAAATTACAGATGCTTAACACCGAGTGAAAGTATAATTACTACAATGGAATTAACCCTACAACTGATCATACTTAAAGAGACATGGTCACAATGGATGCAACCCTTTCGTATCCAAGGTGTAGGGAATATACCAGCAACGCTTTTATATACATTCATAGAAGTAATGGCATGGTTATTGATTTCTTGAAACCGGGTTACTATAATAAATTTATGGGATCTTCTTTGAGTAGTGACTATGAAAGTGAGAGAGAAGCAGAGAGATTCTACGCTCGACATACTATAGCAATGGCTATTACTAGAACGAATAGTGTTCGTCTCTTAACATGATAAGTTGAAAATCAGGCTGAGCCCCTTTCTAAATGTTTATTATGTATTCCTTTTGTTATTAATATAATTAAACATGCCCCATTTAATGGTTAAAAATAATAATAATAAAATTGAAAATAGATGTTTATTCCTTGTGCAGTTGTGCGGGTAACTTATACACGAAAGATATGATATAAAATTTATTAAAGCCATCATTCAAAAATTTAAGCTCTAATCCATCTTCAACAAGAGAGTTCGACATATGTAGAAGTAGAACTCCCACGTACCGTTGAAATTCATATCAATCTTCTTCTTGAATAAGACATCAAATGAACTGCATCTTCAAAATTAGCTTCAAGCCTTCAAGTAAACATATATGAACCTATAATTTTCACGTAATTAAGAAAGTCAACAAATTAATTAAGAAAATAATTAAACTTGTTCTTTACACTTGTTGATAAGGCTCTATCTGTTTGAGCTCTATTTTTTGTGAAAGAACAAGTTTTGAAATGGTGACTTTTTGAAGGATAAGTGGTTAGAAAATAAAGAAAATT